TCTGAGGTAATTTTGGCGTCTGAGGAAAGGTAAAAATATATTTAATACCACCAAGTCAAGGCACAGGCTCGCACAGAACTCTAGTACAGCTAGCAGTTCGGGCCAGCTTTACCCTCGCCGGAACTACTCAACTTCTGGACACACTAGCCAGCCACCGAAGACTTATAAATGAGTCCCATATTTTAAAACGTCGAGACATTTTATTGAAAAGTGTAACTATGTTATTATTACGAACACGGTCACATTTTTCTCACGATTTCTTTAAATATTTTTTGTTTTGTTTCTTGCATTTGTTAATTATTCACTTAAAATTATATTATTAAATTGGGCGATAAATATTCTTCATTTTACAGAGTTATACAATGTTACAAAATTATACGTGGGCCGTAGAAACGACATCGGAGAGCCACATGTGGCCTGCAGTCCAGGGGTTTTATAACCTCAGATTTTGTGCTGTTCGTCTTGTCGTAGATTTCACGAGGACAGATACGTGTATCTGAAGCTCAAATCATTCTGTAAGAACTACGTTAAACCACAGCATTTTACTTTTTCATAAAATCGATAAATAGGACTTATTTTTTCGTTTCAAAAAAAAATTTGGCTTTTGAATCCTGACTAGCACCTAGAGGCGTCATGCAATTTTTATACCTTTAAAAAAAAATTGTGATATCTAAAAAATAATTCGATATAAAGTCCTACTATTATAATTAAAGTGTGAATTTCTGAATAATTATTCAGAAGACACACGTCCTGTACTTTTACATAATAGCATGAATGCTCTATTTTCTTTAACATTTATGACAGATTGAAATGATTTCTGAAAATATTTTCACTGCCTGAAAACGACTGTACTGTGATATGATATTATAGTTTATCCGAAACGTTGGTATTTACATACTAGTCTACACGTCGTCACAACCCGCAAGATTGTCTGTCATCGACATAATTTTCGGGTACACGTGAATTATGTTGATTCTTTAAAACTATATTTTTCCTCAGCAACAACAGTTAAATACCATAACATATACAATTCGGATTTTGGTAACTTAATACAGTGTGTCCCAAAATATGTATACACATTACAGTGTATGTATGCATCATTTTTGGGTCACTCTGTATATATGAGATGGTGTTATTACAGATTAGTTGAGGAAAAGAGGTCTAGTTTATATAGTCGCTTAATGGAAGATATCTTAGAATTCTTAAACACAGTTTACGTGTACCTAGAAATACCTCGAAATGCGTAGAATATTTTGGAAATGACTGGGAAGTTCAAAGAACCAACTGTGGCGATTTGGGCACAGTCAGTGGAACTACGATAATTTACAGTATCATAAAGTGTATCTCACGAGTGCCGACCTCGCTGTATCAGTGGACACGACGGATGCGAGCTATTATCGACTAGCAGCACGAGACCGAATATAATCCTGACAGTGACTAGTTGAACGTCAGGCATTAATCCAGGGAATAATCAATGTTCTCAGTGTTAAATGAATCTATCTTGTGTTCACAACCCACTGATTACGTCAAAATATTGACCTTGAGATAGTTTTGAATGATTGTCACAGAGGGACACAGAATTCGGGTGCACCTTTGTCGATGTGGACTTCATTCAACTCCTGTGTTCTCTGTAAAAACAAACAGGACTCTGGTGAGTAGCGACATTTATAAATATTCTAGCGTTATTGGATATTTTATTTCAACGTTCAAACGATTTGTTATTGGTCACATGAATTGCATGCCACAAACTACCATATGTAATTTCAGCATGGCGGCTTATACATAAGTCGTGGACGTCAAAATATTAATTAGAGCTAAACAATTACAAGGAAGCCACAGTGTGGCTTCACATTAAATCAAATGAGATATAACTAACTAACTAATTAACTAGATGGCATACCGAACCCGAAGGTTCATCACCGAATTAACCACTGGACCCTGTCTCAAATGAGGTATACAGGGTTATTCATAATTCCTTGACATATTACAAAAAATCGCTGGATTTGAATGGTGCAATGGATGGTAACATAGGACATGCCGATAGAAGGAGAAACTCTCCAAGTTTATTTAACATACCTCATAAATGCTCAATAAACATACGCTGCTCCGTTGGCCACCCCGATCACCT